CATCCATCGGAGTATAGAGGGAGATTGAAAGTGATTTCTTAGAATATCACTGATCTTTGTTTTCAATAGAAAAAGGTCATATTTTTTTACGACCGAAGCATTAATAATGCAAGTATAATATATAAACCAACAAATACAATATGCCAATAAAAAGGACAACAGTGCTAAAAACCACTTCATTTTACAAGGTTCATGTCGTTGGCAGTGAGGATGATGATTTACGTTGAAACCCGGCCGTTTGTTTCGCATGCATTTTGTTTGTAAAGTAATTAGCCAATCAACTGGTAACAAATCCACCACGCGAACCGGTAAACTAGTGGTAAGTCATACATGTTTACGGTCGTTTCTAACTCATAAATACGGTTTACTGCTTGATTTTAGTGATACGGTGACTAATATGATTCTTTGCTTTGTTCTACAAATAAATAAATAGATTCCCTGTAGTTTTCTCTTTTAGTTCTTTCGGTGGGAACAAAATCTTCTTGGAGTTTCCCTAAAGAGTTAGGCTTTGTATGGGTACAAAGATTGATTGCGATTTGCCCGAGGGAACTCTCAAGAGAAGGAAGAGCAGCTCATCTTATTGCACAATCAATTCTATTAGAAAATGCGTTCTTTACAAGAGAAAAACTTGCGTGCTATCTGATAGAGACGGTCAATGAAAAATCTCGTTATTATGACTATTGATTGGTAGTTTTGGAGGGATCATTGCAAATATGCAATTATTTGATGGAAAGGGGAATTATATTTCGTGACAGAATTGAATTGAATTCGAATTCGATTTCATTTACATAAAATCCAAGGCAAATTAATTTTCCTATTTTATAATTGTGTTAGCCCAATTTGATTCAAATGAGTCATTTAAAGTTGATTAAACAAAATCACAAATNCAACATCAAGAAAAATATTTCGCCATTAATAGATAACCATCAGAAATAGAAAACGGTAAAACCTTGCCATAGGTTATAGAGAAACTTGACTTTTAATGTTGTCGAGAGGTCACAGGCAACAATGATACATAGGATTTAAAATTGAATTTCATAACATCAACTTGTTTGGTGACAGTGACTGCTCAAAATTTTGATCATATATAGTTTTGTATTACATCGACATCTGCTTAGAATCCAGATAGCACTAAAAGTTTTTCAATTTGGATTAATATATATTACTGAAACTATAGTTGAAAAATGTCACTTGAAGTTATACCCTATGGTGATTCAAGATGCAGGAGAAGATTTGTAGTATAAAGTAACAAACTAGAAACTCGAAGAGCGATAAGAAGTAGAACCTAGTAAGAAGCCAAAACTCATGTGTAATATTCCTTTTGATTTTTACGAATTCTCTTCTGGGTTGTACCATATCGAAGCTTAACGATAATCTCCCTCAGAAAAAAACAGGAAAAATATAGGTTTTCTGTTATATCAACATTCCTTCGAAACTGGATATATAGGTTAGCTAAGGGGTTCAATGGAAAAAACATAATACTGTGCTCATATATATATACCTCTCCATCCATCGGAGTATAGAGGGAGATTGAAAGTGATTTCTTAGAATATCACTGATCTTTGTTTTCAATAGAAAAAGGTCATATTTTTTTACGACCGAAGCATTAATAATGCAAGTATAATATATAAACCAACAAATACAATATGCCAATAAAAAGGACAACAGTGCTAAAAACCACTTCATTTTACAAGGTTCATGTCGTTGGCAGTGAGGATGATGATTTACGTTGAAACCCGGCCGTTTGTTTCGCATGCATTTTGTTTGTAAAGTAATTAGCCAATCAACTGGTAACAAATCCACCACTCGAACCGGTAAACTAGTGGTAAGTCATACATGTTTACGGTCGTTTCTAACTCATATGTAATTGTCAAATAAGTTTCGATTCATGAGATAATACGGTTTACTGCTTGATTTTAGTGATACGGTGACTAGTATGATTCTTTGCTTTGTTCTACAAATAAATAAATAGATTCCTTGTAGTTTTATCTTTTAGTTCTTTCGGTGGGAACAAAATCTTCTTGGAGTTTCCCTAAAGAGTTAGGCTTTGTATGGGTACAAAGATTGATTGCTCTTTGCCCGAGGGAACTCTCAAGAGAAGGAAGAGCAGCTCATCTTATTGCACAATCAATTCTATTAGAAAATGCGTTCTTTACAAGAGAAAAACTTGCGTGCTATCTGATAGAGACGGTCAATGAAAAATCTCGTTATTATGACTATTGATTGGTAGTTTTGGAGGGATCATTGCAAATATCCAATTATTTGATGGAAAGGGGAATTATATTTCGTGACAGAATTGAATTGAATTGAATTCGAATTGGATTTCATTTACACAAAATCCAAGGCAAATTCATTTTCCTATTTTATAATTGTGTTAGCCCAATTTGATTCAAATGAGTCATTTAAAGTTGATTAAACAAAATCACAAATGAATTTGAACTTTGAAGATTCGGATAGTAATCCAAACCGATAAATAATAAAACTCCAAATACTCTGATGCATGATAATTATAGGTATTGCTAGTTGGGCTTTATGGGCTTGGGTTTTACATCTTAGGCTAGTTGATTGATACATTTTGGAGAAAGCAAGCTCACTCCCTAGAATTGGTCTTGCCCACTGCAATGGCCCTAACAGCAAGGGTAATGTTCCAGCTTATGGATGGGCTCG